ACCTTCCATTTATCTAGAGACAACGGGATTTCCTCTAATCTCCAGAAACCTTCCATCGCTCTCAGCAAGTCCGGATCGGTAGAACAATGCAGAAGGGATGTCGAAACCGCCCGCCGTGACGGATCGGTCGTAATAGCGCCAGAAACCACCCAACCGAATACGGTGTTCTGTGCTACAAGACGCGAAGCGGGCCAACGTTTCACGCCTGACTTTAAGATCTGACCATACACATCCGCCCCCAGGATAAGATCCACCGGGTTCGAGATGGTAAATTGCGGATCTGCCAACGGCAGTCCCTGAAATCGCGGTAAGGCGTGCTCCTTCAGCGAGCATGCCGGAAGTGGTGCCGTGAGACGCGGCAGTACTAGTGCATCAATCTCGACTGTGGATCGCGAGTCGACCAGTGAACTCAACACTAACCGTGTAATCGAATGAGCAGCACCGGCCCTACTACCGCTTATCCCTCGCAACGAGACTTCCACCGGTCGTCTCGGCAACTCGAGTAGCTGGGCTACCGACTCAGACACGAAAGAGGCCTCCGAGCCCTGATCCAATAACGCACGGACTCTAATTACCTCCTCGCTCGAACTTAACGCTCCGACCTGAGCCGTAGCTAATAATACCGTCTCCGAAAGTGGAGAGGCTCTAGCAGAATGAGAGTTAACAACCACTGGCTTTGCTTCGGTGTCCACACCCTCGGCCTTCACCGTCCGGGGTGCGCGACTCTCCACGGCCTGCATGGCAGCCGTTTTCGAATGCAAAGGAGTATGGTGCTTCCGCTGACAACCGGGGACGCCACAGCGTTTATCCGATTGGCATTCGCGCACTCGGTGTTTCCCGAAGCAGTTATAGCAAGCGCCCGAACGTTTACACATTCACGTCGGTCACTCGCAGACTTCGCCTTAAAGCTAACGCACTTTATCAGGGGATGAGCCCCCGAACACGCAATACATTTCACTTTATCCGTTGTCGAGGAGGAAGTGCTAGCGTGAAAGACCTTTCGCGTTTTATTCGCAGGCTTACTATCCTGAGCTGTTCTCTTCTCCCCTTTAGTCATTAAAGATTCCGAACTCAACATGTTGAGCGTCTGCGCTCTCCTTTCCAGAAAATCTACTAGGTCCGTGAAGGTAGGTAAGTATTTCAACAGATCGAAATCTGCCGATCCCATATTCAAAGCAGCCTTTCGGTCTTTCGCACTGAGCTCAGCCTCCCAGAGTCTCCGAGACTCCGGATCTAATTTCTCAGCGAGAATGTGGACGAGCCACTGATCCCAATGCGTTACCGGTAATCTCATATTCGTGAGCGCACGGACAATACGCGTCGCTTCGTCGGTGAATGCGCGCAAGCCGACCGCGGATTCCTTCTTCAAGTGTTGAAGTTGTAACAACGATGTAAGATATTTCGCAAGAATGAGACGTGGGTTATGATATCTCGCCTTAAGCGTAGACCAGGTACTAACGTAATTCGCGTTTGTCGTCTTGACGTCCCTGATTAACTCTGCAGCTGGACCCTTCAAGCACGATTTCAGAAATTGCAACGTAGTCACGTCTGCGAACTTGGGCACCTCGTGTACCAGAGCGGTAAAGAGGTCGCAAAAGCTCTCCCAATCCTCGTATTTCCCCGAAAACGTGGGTAACGGCATTCGCGGTAGACGCGCCACGGACGCCTCCGCCTCCGGTTCGGATGGCTCCGTGTCGGCCCGCCTAACATTCGAAACCGATTCCACCACAGCCTCGAACGGCACACGCGCAGTCACCAATAAATCGCGTACATCCTCGTAAGTGGCATGTAACGTAGCTTACACATCGTCCACCATATACGGATCCGTTTCCGACCCCTCTTTAGCCGAGATTTCCAAATGTGTCTTACGCGCGTTCTCCCAGATCTCATTCAGGCTCTCTAGTCGCGATTGAATGACCGTTTTGTTCAAAGTGGCGCTATCTTTACTGCGAAAGCGTTCCTGTATTAAACGCATCTCTTTGAGACGCACGCTCTGTAACGCGACCCATTTCCTCAACGTAGGAGGCGCCATAATAAGCAACTCGATATCGCCAATTAAATTTACCGAACAAAACCAGCGTATATTTCACAACGCGACAATACCCGTTCACTGTAGTGCAGACGGCACTCGGACACGCGCCCGTCACACAAACTAAATCGCTTGAGACCGCAATGCAGGTATAAAACAAAGTACTTATGGTTGTCGACGAGCCTCGAATGACAATTGATCCAGAAACTCGTACCGCCACTCAGTCCGAGCAGTATTCCACCTGCGATCGGCACACTCCGCATACACTCTCTCTGGGACGACCAACAACGTCTCCCTCGCAATCGCTCTCCTTCACACCGTCTCAGGTTTCACACAAGTGCGTACCCGCGCTGAAAACGGTTCGTCATGAACGAGAAGACATGCATCCCACACCTTCCTCACCCGGGGCACCAGAATATTGTCTGTGTCTGTATCGCTTCATCTACCGCGATGAAGCCCTAGCCGAATTTAAGTCATCGGAACGCCTCGGACGTTCGGTACGCGCATAAGTCTCATAAATATTAACGCCGCGGGTTCGTAGATAAGGAAGCGGGATGCAGTCTTCGGAAGGAACACACAATTACAACACACCATTTTCCGCGATACACACCCACTTGCTGAGGCATAAAAACCCTTGCGAGTCAAGGGAAAAGCCCGAGCAAGCGCACCCTTTATTGATTCTCAATACCTGGCCCGCCGTATTAGCGGGCGTAGGCCGTAGCCAAACATATACATGCCCAATTCACATTCGTCACGTTAACATTAAGTAACCGGCTCAACGCGCGATAAATGTCTCTCCGCGAGACCGAAATGGCTGCGAAAGCCCGAAATGGCGGTGCGCCGTTGCCGGCCGACACCTCCTCTTTCCTACAAGTATGAACACGCATCGCACCGCGCGAACTGTCGCCGGGCGAGGTAACCGTCGCTACGCGCGACTGTAATGGACGCGCTGGCCCGAAATGGCGGTGTGCCGTCGCCGGCCGACACCTCCCCTTTCCCGAGAAAGCACCCGTCGTCCCGCTGCCCGGCTGAAGGCCACATCGGACCGCGGGTTGTCCGCGGTCCGACGCCCGTGGGAGGGTGATGCGGCGGGCCCCTTACCGCACCCCCCTCGCCGTAGATGGGGCACGCGTCCACCCAGGGAGCACGGCCCGCAAGTGACGAGGCAGCGCACACGGCCACCCCGTCCCCAATCCAAGATCCAAAGCCGCAACGCGGGCAAGAGAGAGATAGAGTGACGAGACGTCGTAACACGGCCGTCCCGCACTCCCCAAACCACCGCGACAGCGAGACGGCGCGCACGCGAGGCACAATGGCGGAAGGCCCGAATGGCCGTTGCCGCCCCTTCCATCCCCGCGGACGCCCCACAATTACCTTGTCCTCTCCGATTCCGCTCGCTCACAACTACGCCTCCCGGCGCGCCGGCCGGATCGGCGCCCTCAACCGAGCCGAAGGGTGGTCGCCCTTCCCCGGTAGCAGGTCCGGTTTATCCTCCAGGCAGACACCTGGCCGAGGCGAGATCGCCCGGGCAGGGTCCCCGTTCCACAGTCTTCACGCAGTAGAAGATGGCCGCCCAGCCCCTCTGGGCAGCGGGCCGAATCCCGCAGGTTCCGCGGGCCTTCCCAATAGTCCTGGTCCAGAGCCTCGAGCGTTCCTCGCCGGCTCCCGGATCACGCTCGACTCTCTCCCGGGTCGTACTCGACCGTGACGGCAGTCTCGCTGGTGCAGGGTCCGACGTCGCTTGCAACCGGTCCGTCGCCTGCCTTCCCACATCCGTCGCTCTTGACAGTCCTGCCGATACTCTCCACTGTCCCGCCGTCACTCTACTCGCTCCCGGTTCGCACTGTCGCTAACCGGAAGGAAAGCTGCAGAAGCGGCGACTCGCACGCCGCGCTCGCTTTCGCTCACACTCGCGCGCACGCCGCGCACGCGCAGCCGGCGCCGCCAAGCACTTGCACCATGCCGTGGCAACGCCGCTCCGCCGGTAACCCAGCTAATACAAATGACCGCTCATCCGCCGCGAACAACTTTAGCATTTCAACAAAGTAACGAAAAAAGTAACGAATCGTTACTTTCTAAGTAACGGTAACGGTAACGCGTTACTTTTTAAAATCAGTAACGAGTAACGGTAACGAGTTACTTTTTACAAAAAGTAACGGTAAAGGTAACGCATTACTTTTTTAAGGTAACGTTCCCAACCTTGAATATATACAATTGTCAGATGAAATATACTAAGCTTTGTCTCCATCCTTTCTTCAGAGAAGGCCATGGAACAGAGAGAGGCCTCTGGTTTCCGCGTATACCCATAATAAATTACAGTAATACACGACTATTTCACTATTATACAACGTATAGTTGAAGTTAATTAGATTATATACTACTCTATATAGTATATTTAATTATATACTATAGTTTAGTCACACGTAATGCATACGTAACGAAACGTAACTGACCTCTGTGAAGCTGGCCCCACTTTTTCAAAATTTGAAAAAATAAGTAGAGTTCCGGTTGCCCCCCGAAGAGTTCTAGAGTTTTCTATGGATTATAAAAAGAGTTCCGTCGATTAAAGCGGTAAAAACAAAATTTGAAAAAAACGGGGGGCCAACTTCACAATTATGAAACTTTGGAAGGCTGTAATTTTCTTATTTATAATTTTTGCGCTTCGATCATTAAGGGTAATCGTCAGAACTTTTTGTGGGGCTACCAGAACTCATAAGAAATTTCCGAAATTCCAAAAAAAATTTTCAGAATTATCAAGGCCATATGGGTCAAAATTTTTTCAAAATTTTGACAATTTCTCGAGAGTTCTGGTAGCCCCACAAAGAGTTATGATGATTGTCATTAATGATCGAAGCGGTAAAATAAAGAGCAAGAAAGTTATAGTCCTTTAAAGTTTCAGTACTTTGAACTTGGCCCTACGTTTATTTTGTTTTTACAGCTTTAATCGACGAAACTTTCTAAAACCGATTGCAAACTATAGAACACTTCGACGGCCAACCAGAAATATTAAAACATTGAAGAATTTCCGGAAAAATTTTTTACTCTCGCAGAATTAAAAAATTTCGAACACTGCATCTTTAAAGCGCTAGAACTCTTTAGTTCCGGGTTTCACAGCCACGGTCGTTAAGGATAATCGTTAGAACTCTTCGGGGGGTTACCAGAACTCGTGTCAGAACGCCAGATTTCCGAAAAAATTTTCCACCCTCGCGGACTTAGAAAATTTCGAAAACTGCATCT